GGAATCACCAGAGACAGAGTAGGGAACAGAACAGTCAGATAGTCTGAAATACACTGCTGAGGGGAGCAGCGGGTGAGACAGGAGAGGTCTGCTGCGCTATGTGGGTAGCTCCCTGGCCAGCCAGGGATTGAACTGGTGCTGCAGAGGCTACAGATAGCTTTACAGTGCTATGCTTTAACCCGTGCGCCACCAGGGAGGCCCTCAGTCTGAAGATATTAAGTATAATAAGATATTTTCAGAGTGAGATCTCATTGATTTAACCATCATTACAGTATATTGTTATAATTGTTCTGTTTTGTTAGTTATTATTAATATCTGTTGATCTCAGGCAAAAGCAATCAGTTATTGAAAAGACAAAATGGATTTATTCAGAAACAAAAAAAAGAAAAGAGGGAAAATTGGACAGTGTGTTCATGATTAGACCCATGTGCGTGCCTGTGAATCAGTGGCTAACAGCCTGGGAGGACTTTCTTCCCTACCGCACCCCCCCCCCCCCCCCCAGCCAGTTACATACTCAAACGGAGAGCCTAGTTGCTTAACTCTGCCCTCAGGTCCTTGCAACCTTCCCTTTGGTGATCATGGGATTTGTAGTTCCCAGTGTCTTGATGGAGTGGGGATGGAGTCCACAAAGCCAGTATGGAGTTTGCTCAGGACATCCTTTCCCCCAACATCTCCTTTCTTCTCCAGCTGTGTGTATTCCCTTCCTGTTACTAAACTTCTACTATGGCCTTTGGAATCCTCGATTTACTGCAACCTTGAATTTTTCTCAGGTAATCATTCATTTACCACTTCTTAGGGAAAATAGATAAACTAGCTTTTTATTCTTTTAGACGTTTTTATCATGTCATCTCCAGAACAGTGTTTTGTTTTCCTTTGTAGCTTGGTCCCTACTTTTGGACATGCTGGCTTTGAGATGTGTGTGGGACTGCCTGATGGAAATGTTTAAAAATAATTGGACTACATGGTTCAGAATTCAACAGGTCAGGAAAATTGAGGGAGGAGGGTGTTTGGAAGCTAGTCAATTTTGCTGTATGCTGCAAAGTCCGAGAAGGCAACAATTTTTACATGTTGAAAAGGTCTTTGTTTTTTTCCCTTTCCCTTCTATGGAAATCTGTAATTACAGGGAAGGAATTTTTTAGTAATTCTTTTCAAATACCTCCTTCATCTTGTATTCATGAGTGATTTTATTAAATCAATCTTTTTGTATTTTTGTTAGTAATAACCAGTAACAAAATTCTTTGTTGGATTCAAATGTTTGGGAGAGAAACTTTCCTTTTAATAAGACCACCCTCAGCTGGGACATTACAGTTGTCCAGTTTCAATTTTAATATATCCAAATATTCTTACACATCTTATATTTGTCTCTTTTTGTCTCTAGGTGATTTGACTAAATCCTAGTAATTAAAATGCTGAGATCTTATATTCACTAGGATTCATGCTAAGCTGCTATTAGAGGCTGTAACAGGATAGACCATGTAACAGAGATGTCTGAGTGATTCCCCTTCCTCGTATGAGCAGTGCCTTCGGCAGCAGATTTGGTGGCTCATCTGCTGGTACCAATAATTGTCTTTTGCCACTAGGTTGATGCCCTGCCTGGACTTATTTGTGTTCTGTTGTATTTTGTTATATTGTGATGTATTTGCTTTTGTGGGCCATGGCTGCATTGTTTATCTTTGCTAAGAAAATTGTATATATGTAAATTGTATGGCAGAAAACCCTGAGGGGGGTAGACTGTAGGGTAAGGAAAAATGTCAGGCTTTTCTGCCCTCCCGCCATCAGGATAGATGATGGATCCTTGCGGTCCTGAATGCATGCCTGATGGCGGGCACCTGGAGTAGGGTGTGGGCATAGGTAGATGAGATTCACCTGGGCTAAGACTGTGCTTTTAAGGGCGACATCACGGGGATGCCAGTAGAAGCCGAGGAGAAGCCAAAAGAGGCCGAGAGAGAAGCAAGAGAAACAGAAGCTGAGAGAACGCCGGAGAGCCCAGAGTGAAGACCTGCTTGGGGCTGGGAGGCCTGCCAGCCTCCAGGCCCCCCAGCACCCCTGCCTGCCATATGCCTGGTGAACCCCAATAAAAGACCTGCAAAACCCCTGAGGGCTCTGACTCCTCCTTTACCTGGTCTGCATGGGATCAGAAAACCTGCTCCATGTCCTGACCTGCCCTTACAAGCAGAAAAACTCTTTTGAAAAGGAGCAGTAGCTAGACTGAATACTGGCAGCATGACAAAGCAGTATATAAACACAAATCAGCAATTGGGAGGAATATAGAGAATGTCTCAAGAAAAGATGTACCTAGATGAAGTTTATATATTTAAGCTTATAATCTGTTGTATATAGAGAGATTGCTATGTATTGTAGCCACTTTTCTTTGGTGAATTAAAATTTTTAATTCTGTATTTGGTGTTGGTCAAGGTAGTATCTCATGTAACAGGAATTGTCTCATTGCAGTGGGAAAAAATGGCAATAGGAAAATGTTTCAGTATACTGAAGGCAAAAAAAAACAGGCTTAAAAACCTTTTAAAAAAGGGTTCTATAGGGTTAGAAATAATATTGTTCTAAATCTCTTAACCTTTTGTTTATATATGTATATATACAAGACATTTTAATACATGAAGTAGAGCATTATTCTTAGTAGGTAAACTTGGATTGGTTTACAGTCCCTAAAAGCAAATATGCTAAAGACTAGAGCCAGTAGTTGTATTTCTTGGAAATTGTTACAGGGGCATAATGCCCTCTTATCGGGTGTCTGATGCTTGTTTTTAATAGCTTAGTGAGCGTCTCTTCAACGTCAAAACCTGACTGCAATGTATGGGATCGGTCTGGAAGAAGGTTCTCTTCTCTGTGTTATAAAATTCAAGAATCTTTGTTGTGTCCTTATAGCTTGAGGGATCTGAGAACTATATAGCCTTAGCCAGTGATGGTTTCTGTAGCTGAGTCAAAACAAATTCTCCAAACAGCTGTATTAGTGTATCTGAATGTTGCATAAAGATGGCTTTATCTGGGGCCTCCCTGGTGGCGCAGCGGTTGAGCGCTGGGTTGCAAAGCTGCCCGCAGCCTCTGCAGCGCCGGTTCGATCCCCAGCTGCTTCCCGGAGGGTCCCACATGGCGCGCAGACCTCTCCTGCCGCCCGCTGCTCCCCTCAGCAGTGTACTTCGGTCCTTCTGCCTGCTCTGCTCCCCGCTCTGGCACTGGTGGATTCTCTCACCCCCCCGCGCTTCTAACTGTACCCAGTGCTTGTATAAACAAACAAACAAATAAATAAAATACATGCCTCTTTAAAAAAAATTAATAAAAAAAACAAGATGGCTTTATCTGGTATTAAAGCCTTTTACCATTTAAGGGCAAATAAAAGCACATTGGAGCAGGCATTGTCCAACCTTGTTAGCTACTGTGTGCTAGCTCTTTATTTACTTAATCACTCATAAATAAGTTCTGCAAATGGCTCATTGTCACAACAAAGGAAATCCTGAATACTGCTGTACTGGTTTCTTGGAAAAGCAGTCTCTTGCCCAGCTTTGTAATTTACCGAACATCCCAGTTATCCCCTTCCCTCTAGTTTGCTAGTCCTTCTCTGTGATCCCAGTGGTTTATGGAATGTTTCCAGTGTCAGACCCTATTCATTTAATTTTCTTTGTTTCTTTTAAACAATTTACTTTCTCTTTTAACTTTTGATGGTAAAATACACATAAACATGAAATTTGTCATTTTAACAATTTTTAAGTGTACCGTTCAGTGACTGTTAAACTATTTGACTCTTTCCCACCCTTTGCCACCATCCATTTCCAGAGCTCTTTTAACCTTTCATAACAAACTCTGTACCCATTAAACAGTAACTCCCCATCTCCACTCTCCTCCAGCCCCAGCAACTACCATACCACTTTCTGTCATTATGAATTTCCCATGTAAGTGGAATCATACAATATTTATCTTTCTGTGACTGACTTATTTCACTTAGCATAATGTCCTCATGGTTCATTCACATTGTGGCATTTGTTAGAATTTGCTTTCTTTTAAAGACAGAATAATATTCCATTTTATTTATTCACCACATTTTGCTTGTCTGTTCGTCCATTCATGGATGCTTAGGTTGCTTTCATCTTTGACTATTGTGAATAATACTACTGTAAATATGTATATACAGACACATCTTTGAGATCTTGCTTGCGCAGTTCTTTGGGATATATACCCAGAAATGGAATTGCTGGCTCATGTGGTAATTTAATTTTTGATATTGAGGAATCACTGTATTGTTTTTCATAGTGATTGCACCATTTTGCATTACCCTCAGTAGTACACAGGAGTTTTGCTTCTTCACATCCTTGTGAACACTTGTTATTTTTTTTATAGTAGCCATCTGTAGGGTAAGTGAAGTTGATCAGGCTTTTTACATCATTGACCTCTGTAGTATCACCTGCGGCCTTGATCTTGTTAACTTTAGAAAGTGCGGGGGAGTGGGGCACATGTGCCTGACTGTGGACTCCTGAATGTGTGAGAGTGCGCGCATGTGCAAGTGTGCACACCTGTGCCTGGGAGAGAAGGGCTAAAAGGGCAGCGTCGCCCTAGGGAAGCAGAATGCTACGAATTACGGCTACGAGAGGAACAGGCCACAAGAAAACACCAGAGAAAAGAGCTGATAGAGGTTTGTGGGGGGCTCAAGTCTCCCTGCTGGTTTTGTTTCCCCTGGTTAAAACCTGTGAAAATGATACCACGGGCTCCAAAATTCTCTTTAAAATCACTAGAACCAATGGTGTACCTACCCAGCCTGGGATGGTTGCTAAACACCATCCCAGTGGATAAGAGGTGATAGATCTCAATATGGTTTCAGTTTGCATTTTGCTAATAATTAGTGATGTTGAACGTCTTTTCTTGGCCTTACTGACCTTTTGTATATTTTCTTTTATTTATTTATTTATTTATTTTTGTGGGACCCTCGCCAGTGGCCGGAGAACGAACTGGCACTGCAGAGGCTGCGGGCAGCCTCGCAGCCCAGCACTCAACCGCTGCACCACCGGGGAGGCCCCTTCTGTATATTTTCTTTTGAGAAATGCCTAAGTCCTTTGCCCATTTTACTTGTTTTTTGTTTAGTTACAGAAGTTCTTTGTATATTTTGTGTGATTAACCCTTTATCATATAGATGAGTTTCAAATATTTTCTCCTTTTCTGAGAGTTTTTTTACTCAGTCAATTGTGTCCTTTGATACAGTCTTAAATTTGGATTATCTTGTCTGTTGTATCTTTAGTTGCCTGTACTTTTGATGTCCTGTCCAAGAGATCTTTGTAAGGTCTAAGCTTTCCCCCATGTTTTCTTCCAAAAGTTTTACAGTTTCAGGTCTATTTTCAGGTCTTTTTTGAGTTAATTTTTGTATTTTCTGTTAGAGTCCAACTTTCAATCCCATCCCCTCCATTATTTGTTGAAAGACTGTGCTTTTTCCCATTAAGTGATCATGGAGAAGTTCAAATACACATGTTCCTGGGTGGATCATACCTTGAGCCAGTTATTAACTAGTTCCTTAATTGTTAGTTAGTACTAATCAGAGAATTGACAGCAGAGTTAAAGAAAGTTTACTTTACCGGAAGAAGAGGAAGAGGTGTTGAGTAGCCATATGGGAGAGAGTCAAAGGTAAACTTGTTTTATTTTGCCCTTGCCTACTGGTTGTCTGCTTTTTTTGCATGTATCATGTTCCTGAGTTGTACTGATGTATTTGTGCATTTATTTATCCATTGTATTTTCCATTTTATTCAGCAACTATTTCTTAAATCACTGTTAAGTGAAGGTGAGATAAACCCTACATGTACTTAGGACTAGAGTAATCAATAAATCCTCTCCTTCAGTTTCAGTACTTAATAGTCAATATACTTTGAAGCTTCAGCTATATAACCAGTAGATTGACACTAATGAATATGTATTTGGATATTTACTGGACTTGTAGTGGGAATTTTGCTGGTGTTTGATGAACTGTGTGGGAACTTACAATGTTAATAATGCTTTAGGAAGTATATGAAATACCACTTCTGATGAAAATGATTGCTCCTGATGGTTAACATCATTCCAAGGATGGATATTAAAATCCAGCAGTAATCAATGTGAACCAGGCAAATGAAGTTCTTTTTAATGTGATTTGACCAGTCTTTTAAAATGTGCATTGTAAGTCCAGATAATATATGCTTAGCAGGGCCTCCCCAGTGGCGCAGCGGTTGAGCGCTGGGTTGCGAAGCTGCCCGCAGCCTCTGCAGTGGCGGTTCAATCCCTGGCTGCTCCCCGGCCACCGGAGGAGGGTCCCACATGGCACGCAGACCTCTCCTGCCGCCCGCTGCTCCCCTCAGCAGTGTTACTTGGGTCCTTCTGCCTGCTCTGCTCCCCGCTCTGGCTCTGGTGAATTCTCTCACCCTCCCGCGCTTCTGACTGTACCCAGTGCTTGTATAAATAAATAAAAAAAATCTTTTAAAAGATCTTTTAAAAGATTTACTATGTTTAAAAAAACAAAAACAAAAAAATATGCTTAGCAGAAAATGAAATGAAATGAAAGTATGCATATGTAATTCTGATATATTTTTTATTAAGCTAATTTTTATTGGCATTCTTCATAGTGTAAACATCCCTGTTAAGAAAATGGGAGAGTCAGGAAATCTATTGCATTGTAGGCATTCTGAGTCCTTGGATTCACTGTAGATACAGCTGCTTCCCATTTGCCTTAAACTTGCACCACCTGGCTAGCTGTTAGGATCTGTTGACACTGGGGGTTGGATGTGACCACATTGACAGCCTCTACGTTGGTTGGCTTTTATAATATTACTTAAGGACTTACAGGAGAGATTAGCTTATAAACCTTTTAAGGGTTTGTGTATTTTCAGCCCCTTTTGTTAAGTCGCATGTGGGAACACAACTGAGCCAAAAGCCTAGAGTTAGTTTTTAGTTCATTAGTTTTAGTCCTTTTCAATTTGAGTTTTTCCTTCAAAAACAATCTTATGCAGCCTCTAACTAGTCTAAGACATAAAATTAGAGCTGCTAAAATTGAAGTGGTCTTACTTCCTTGTAATTTTTACCCCCAGTTTCCCCCGCATCCACTCATGTCCACTTCCTGGCTCCATGAGGATTCCACTCACTGCTAACCAGTTTTATAAATAATGAAATGTGAGGCTCAGTGGTGTTCTCAATAAAGGGCATTCTCTTCTTAGTGGGCAGTGTTAAGGAGACACACTATAATTTAGAAATTTGTTTGGACTGATATTTCTGTCATACTCTGCTATCCTAAGTTAATGCTCTCCTCCATTCTAGGAGAAGTCCTGTTTGAAGAAGCAGTTGTTTAGAGTGGAATGATTTACCCTGTGGATATGGCTTCAAAGGCATTTGGCAGAGCCTGTTTTTTGGAAGATCTTTACTTATTAGCAAAAAGTTAAGCCTTTGTTACTTCTTGACATACCAGTTACCTAAAATAGGGTTTTATATTATCTTCCTGATTTCACACTGCAGAAGAAACACTGTAGTCTTTAGAACCATCTAAATTATTTGCAGTTAATCCATCTGTGGTGTGGTTCTTGTTAGCATAAAAATTGTGTATCTTTTGCTAATCTTGTTCTGTTCCACTTTTGGAGAGGGAATATCTGTTAAATATTACTGTCCACTAAGCAGCACAGAATTTAGTTGTTAAGTGTTTGGTGTTTTAAAATAGGAGAATTAAAAAGTGTGTAAAATTTAAATATGCAAGTACAGTTTCCAATATTAATATTAGGACATATTACTGTTACTGCCATGCTTTCTTACATATATGTTCATTTTTTAATTCAAGAAAAATGTATTGGTTTCCTACCCTCTGCAAGATTAATGGTAATTTTGTATATAGCATATCTTTCATGTTTTCATTCTGTAATGTTTTGAGCATCAGAAAGGAGATGGGTGTGGATCTCTGAAATGAGTGAATTTATGCAGTATTTTATGCTGTGATTCCTGTCAACCTGAATCTTCCCTTTTTCAAGCTTACCTTCTAGAATGTGAGATTGCTTTGCTGCATGCCAGGTGGTTCTGTTTCTTCTTTTTGCCAGCATTGTGTTTTTGGGTTTCAGGTATCAGCATTCTAGTACTTTGCTTTTATGTGCTAGGGTTTTCTTCATTACAACCCACCTCCTCCCTTGCCCACCTCTTCCTACTCAAAATCTTTCCCTCAAGTTTGTAGAGCTAGTGTTTTCCTGGAATGGTGCTTGTTTCTATGTAGGTTGTAAAATTTTTGCTCTTATATAAATGCTTATTTGTGTCTGTAGTGCCTGGTATACTATGCTTTATTTATGGTAATATTTCGTTAACTTTGAGTTTTAAGTCCTTTGTGTTGTGTCTTTTAAACGTGGATTCTGACTTATTTTTTAGAAGCCATAGTTATCTGTATTAAATATCTATATAACTATATACTGACCTACCTAGCATCCACTGACCAAAGAAAGTTACACAGTTGATGCCATCCATCAGTGACAGGGCTAATAAATTGCCACTCCTAGCAAAGCTCAGATTTGCAATTAGGTTTTTTTTACCATTAATCCATTGTCATAGGCCATCTTAAGTCCATACATAGTTAGAACTGTTACAGGGCAGGGAGAGGGGCAGCCCAGACCCCGCAAACCTGCCTGTTCTAAATAGGTTCTGCCATCCGCTGCATCAACACAAAACATGAGACTTTAATGGGAAGGAACTTTAATACAACTAGGAAACAATACAAGAAAGGCAAAGAATCTAGTTTCTAAATCAAGCACCCAAAGTTACCCATCCCCTCGTGGGTAAAAGTCCACCCAAGCAGGATTGGCCCAGAACAAGGCCCCAAAGCCTACCACAATTCTAAGCATCTTCCAGTGGGGACCCACAGAAAAGCATCAGAAACAACCAGAGAAGTCTGGAGGGAAAAGAGCAAAATCAACATCAAGATAAAAGCTGCCATTGTCACCTCCCCACGGGTCTCACCCATGTTTGTGTCACCCAGTCCACGACCAAAAGACTGGCTAGCTGTTAGGATCTGTTGACACTGGGGGTTGGATGTGACCACATTGACAGCCTCTACCTTGGTTGGCCTTTATAATATTACTTAAGGACTTACAGGAGAGATTAGCTTATAAACCTTTTAAGGGTTTGTGTATTTTCAGCCCCTTTTGTTAAGTCACATGTGGGAACACAACAGAGCCAAAAGCCTAGAGTTTCTTCACATGTCTCTAGGCTCCATGTGCCTCCTCCAGGTCTCTTCTGGCTCCATCCTGCTTCCTTCCTTAGTCTCCTCTGCAGCTGCTTCTCTCCCTGCTCAGCTCCATCTTCCCTTGGGTGGGGCAGGGAACCTGCAACCTCCCCCTTTCCTGGGGACCACCCTGTTACAGAACAAGTTGCCTTAAAACTTTTCTGGAATAAGTAAAGGGGTCTGCATAAATAAAGCAAAAATGTAAAGCACCAAAATTGTTACATAATCAAATTTCTGTAATTGATGTACATTGCTAAAGTATATGAATATAGTTTTGATTTTTTATATTTAGTTTCTGAAGCTAGTTCTTCAGTGTGTTTTATACACAGCACCAAGGGGATTCTACTACCCAACTACCCAAATCATTTAACAGTTGTAGTAAGAGACTCATAATTCAGTAATTGAGACCTAGAGAGATTTACAGAGACCAGTAAGGCCAGTTAGTGGTAGAACTTAGGCTGGAAACAGCTCCCTTTACTCCTACTCTTTCCTATAATTTTGATCTTGTAAGAGAATTTTCTTTCCACCTAAGGGATTGCATTTAGAGAAAGTTTGCTGGCATCGTTAATTCCTGTTATTGCTTATCTAAAAATGCTATTTCATCTTTCTGGAATGAATTTTTCTCACTGTGGAATTCAAAGCTTAGTGGTTGTTTTCTTTCAGCACGGTTGTTTTCTGACTCTTGTTTCTGTTGAAAAATGAAACTGTTTAATTGCTGCTCCTTTGAGTTTAAGATTTATTTATTTATGCATACAAGTGATGGGGTGTAGGCCAGAGGTGCGAGGGATGAGGGTGAGAGGATTCACCAGAGACAGAGTTTGCTCGGGGCCATGGTGAGCTGTGGCACAGTAAGAATGCATATCATTAAGCAAGCAGCCAGTGGGACAAAGCAGCCAATGGGATGAACGCATGTGTACAGCACGATATGTGCACGAGCCAGGCATGCAGGCAAAGTACCAACCAAAAAGAAGCACACAGCCTGAACATGAGACACAGGCAAAGCGCAGGCGCAGCACAGGGTATATAAGGCATGTGCTAGAGGAAATAAAGGTCCCCCTGTTTTGCAGCTTCTCATCCAGTGTGTCAGCCTCTCATTTCATCCCCAGCCCCTCTTCCGTGACTCTCAAATCCCGTGGGTCGGGACAAGAGTTGGGAGCAGAACAGGCGAATTGACTGAAATAGACTGCTGAGGAGAGCAGCAGGCAAGAAAGGAGAGGTCTGCTGTGTCACGTGGGTTAGCTCCTTGTCTGGGGATTGAACTTGTGCTGCAGTGGCTGCGGATTGCTTCATAGTGCTAACTCTTAACCCCTTGCACCACCAGGGAGGCCCTCCTTTTAGTTTTTTGAATGAATCTTTATTTTCAGAATTTTTTATCTTTAATTTTCCATAGTTTAACTATTACATGTAGGAGTATAGACCTCTGTTTTTCCTGCTTGGAGCTCATTGGGCTTCTTAATTTGTGATTTGATATCTTGAATCAGCTTTAGAAAGTTTAGTCATTATTTTCTTAAATGTAGAGTCTGACTGTATGAAATGAAATTTTTTTTTGGTTTCCTATTCCCTTGTTTGTTCTTAATATTTGAATTATGGACCAGTAGGAGTTTGCTGTACATGGGTCAAATTATGGAAATGATGAAATTACAGTATTAATTCCTTCATTCCTTTTGTGTACTGTGACAATGGATGGTTCTTGGTGTCTTTCAAGAAAACAATGCCATGACTATATAGAATAAAGCTAGCAACAAAAATAGAAAGTGAAAATAACACTGCACAAGAAGGTAGTCTCAGAAAAGCTAGAGTTGTCCCTAAAAGTACTACCCTGAGACCTGAAGTAATAGGATTTTTATGATCTTTTTCTTTTGGAGTAGGAAGGGGTTCCTTTTAATTATGAATACCTTACTCCCTTCACTCCTAGATTCCTGAAATTTGAACACCGCTTCCTTTTTTCGTGTGTGTGTGTGTGTGTGTGTGTGTGTATGTGTGTGTGTCAGGATGGGGATGCTGAAGTGTAGTTAACAGATTTCTTCCCAAGCCTCCAGAGATGTGCCAGATCTTATCTGGTCCTCATGTTAATGTGCATGCTGAGGGGCACTCTAGGTCTCCCAAACTTGTATGCTAAAGTGGTTTCTGCCACCCACTGCATAAAGACATAGCACATTTAGTGTGAACAACCTTTAATAGGATTAGTGTGCACAGAGAGAAGAAAGGGTAATAGTTTTCAATAAAACACTCGAATTACCCATCCTCTTGTGGGGGAATGTCCAGCCAAACAGGGTTGGCCCAAAGCGAGACTGCTGGGGCCTGAAAACTTGCCACAAGTCTAAGACACCTTCTGGTGGGGAATCCTTGGAAAGGGACAGAAAGAGCCAGGCAAGTCTGGGTTAAAGGAGCAAAATCACTTGTTTTGTGTCTCTCACCCATGTCTCTTCATATCTCTGCTGCATGTGTCTCCTTTCATGTCTCTCAAGTCACTGGTGCAAGTCCAAAGCTGAGAAACAAGTGCGCCTCCTTCACGTGCCGTCTTCTTTCTCCTCTTTTAAGTTTTCTCCACGTCTTCTCTAACTTCTCCCTGTTCAGCTGCACCCTTCATTTGGTGGGGCAGGAAACAACCTTCCCTATTTATAGAGATCCCTCTCTGTAACATTTGAAGCAAGGTTGTCAAATGTTGCTGGATGTCAGAGTATAGAACTGTGACTACATTTCTTTTGGGGGGAGGGGGGAGTGTGAGATCCCTTTTTATCCCCAATGACCAGACACTGGAGGTTAAACAAATAGGGTTTGGGTTATCTTTTTCTGAAATGTGCATAGACATTTTCCTCGTTACTGGATTTTGAGTGGTAGCGGGACTGTAGCTTACCTCATTTCCCCCTCGGAAATTTTAGTCCCTTTCACATTGAGCCTGATGAAAAGAATGGGAACCGCAAAGTTCTGTCTGGAGTCCTTTCCCTCTGTCCTGAAACCCCTTCTGCTTCATTTGCCCTGAGAGATCTTTCATCCTTTTTATTATTATACTTAATAGGGTAAAGGGACAGTGGTCTCAATCTTCTGTTGCTACTTCCTGCTGAACATGACTGTAGTCGCTGCCTACAGCTGTCTCATTCTGAGAGAGAGAGACTTAGGGCTCTTGGTTTGAGACAGGTTGAGGGCCTCCCCGGTGGCGCAGTGGTTGAGCGCTGGGTTGCGAAGCTGCCCGTGGCCTCTGCGGTGCCAGTTCAATCCCGGGCTGCTCCCCAGCCACCGGAGGAGGGTCCCACATGGCGCGCAGACCTCTTCTGCCGCTGGCTGCTCCCCTCAGCAGTGTACTTCGGTCCTTCTGCCTGCTCTGCTCCCCGCTCTGGCTCTGGTGAATTCTCTCACCCTCCCGCGCTTCTGACTGTACCCAGTGCTTGTATAAACAAAACAAACAAATAAATAAATAAAACATGCCTCTATTAAAAAAAAAGAGAGAGACAGGTTGAAAGCCCTGTAATAGCATCATTTATGTGCAGTTGTTGAACATTTGACACCAAGAGTTTAAACAAACAAGACCCCACCACAAGAAGTATGAGTAACTATGTAACTCATGTAAGTGAGCAAAGATCACTATCCTCTAAGCCATTCTCCTAGACTTCTTTAAATTCTACAACCTTTTGGATACAAATGAGACTAAATAATATAAGAAACAAGGGCCAAAGATCAAAAGAAGTAGGCATATTCTACTAACAGCTGTAGGACTGAATGAGTTCATTGATCTAGCCAAACCAATTAGAAAAGGCTTTAACAGGAATCCAGGGCCAGGATTCGGTTTTTTTAAGGTGCTCCACCTTTGGGAGGCCAATTTTTTTTTTTTTTAAATTGCTTTTAGTTTCTATCTGGCCCAGGGGCTCAGGTCAAGATTGTTGCTTTACACAGCTTTAAATACAAGCCTCAGAGAGAAAAAGATAAGTGGTTTTTTTTTTTCTTTTTGTGTACTCTGAGGTCTGAGAGCAGTCTTATAATTTAGCCTCCCTTACAACTCCTATTACTTTTCAAAGCTTTCATCATTTGTCTGGGATAACTTTACTACTTTGAAGTTGGGGAAGAGCCTTTAATAACTGTTTTTTTGTTTTGTTTTTTATTACAACTTTCTTATATTTGTCTAATAACCTCATTAAGCCATTGATAAGAATTCTCATATTGACCTTTTGCATTAGGTACCCATATACCTTAAATAAAGCTGTTAAATAAATGACTTGGTAAACAAAGTCTTAAAATTTATTATTCCACTTTCATTTAGCAGATTGATAGTTGCATTTAATTTTTGAGTATTCATTCTTAGTGTATAAATAACCAGAATTCCTAAATTCTTTAGTTGTAAGCAGATGTGTGAATGCAAAGTTTATATGAAGGTCAAGAACTGTGTGCTAATATATTTCTTAGACACCTGTGAGAGACAGGATAAAGTGAGTTTTTTTAAAAATATAAGAAATATTTAACAGCAAATATGGCATTTCTGGGTCTCACGATGAACATTTTGGGTAGTTATGTGCCTATCTTTGTCAAACTTAAAAAAAAAAAGAACTCTTCTCCATAGCACCTAATTAGGGTTAATCACTTTGCCTCCTGATCTCTGTTCTCTACACAAACCCCCTGTGTCTCTATTGGATTTAACTCCTTCAGAATATCTGTGTATATTGTTTAAGTACCTTTTAAGACTAAATAGTAAAAATACATAATGTAAATATCAACAAGGAGAAGCTATAAATCCCACATTATGCCAAAAGTAGAAATATTTGAAAGAAAGTATCTGCTGATGTGTGTGGATTAATTATCATATTTTAAGATATTATTCAATTAAAACAAAGATCCTTCTATCAAAACTTGGATAATGTGTAATGCTTCTGGTGATATATTATGGCCATTTGACATTAACCTGTATAGTTAGTAGGAGAAAAAGACCCAAATTGAAATCATGTTAATTTTGTACAGGGCTGTGCAGTCATATCCCAAAATGTTGCCTTTTGAGTTAAAAGACTATTACTCTATAAGGAGTTGCATTTAGTGCTTGTTCTAACTTATGAGTCAGTGTACACTTTCTAGCCTCTAAAACAGTTAATATTTGAAACAAACCATCATTTGGTCATTTTGGTGGCTTTATATTATAATTGGTCAAGTGTTGCCATAAGAAGAATGCCAGATTTACTATTATCAATGATACTTTCTGCATCATGTCCCCTACTTGTATTTTTTTAATGATTTCTTTTTTGCTTTTTGCATAATAGATGAATTACATTATGAGAGCATTCTTCAATATCCAGTATATGATAGAATTTAAGAGTAGTAGGGCAATTCATGAATCAAGATATTTTCTTAGGTTGTGTTAATGGTAGTAAATGTTAACAAATAAGTTCAACCATGTTAGATATTGTGATTTATTTACGAAGTGCATGTTAGTATCAGTGCTCAAGACTGCATAAAATTTTTTCTTGTTAGGTTTAAATTATAACTAAAGTTTAATGCCTTTAGGAGGGATTTATAGGAACAAATTTCATTTTTTAAACAGGAGATGATAAACTTTGGGGAAAGGTTTTCTCAGTATGTTTTTAACTTTCATCACTTGAACATTTGAATATTTTATTTTCTCATCTTTGATATTGAAATAAAATATCCATAGTAGTACATTATATTATAAAATTGACATATTTCTTTTTTTCCTAATACAGAAGCTCCACCATGAGACGAGGTGGATGGAGGAAGCGAGCTGAAAATGATGGCTGGGAAAAATGGGTGTGTTTTAAAAGAATAAAAATAATTATATTGAACTGTCTAGGTATTTCTCATTCTTCTTGTAGTTTATAATATTGCTTAAGGCATGTTTTAAATTGTCAGTCACTTTAAATACCAACTGTGAGATTTCACAGTGTATTGGAAGTTTCAATTGAACCCCTAAGCCTTTCCCTCAGAAATTTTATTCTAAGGATATATTCTAGTGCACAAAATTATTCTATATAATTTTATTGCAGCATTGCTAATAATACTGAAAAACTGGAGAACACAGAAACCCAGTAACAGATGATTGGTCAAATAAATTGTCCCAAAATAGTTGAACACTGCATGTATTACTTAGTTTTATTTCTTAGCTTGGTAAAATGGCCTTGCCTAAAAAGGTAGATGATAAAGAAATATCATGTGGGATCCTGTTTTGTAAAATCTCTATGCTTTCACACATAGAAATAATCTTTGATGATAATAAGTTCTCAAAATGTTAAAAATAAATGGGATCAGAGTTAATTTTTATTTTGTTTATATTTCCTGGGGAAAAAGCCACTTTGATCAGTGTCCATATAATATTTGAATAATCAAAACCAGTGAAGACATTTTGATTTTGGAAGAAATATGTACCACTTCTAGACACCTATAGCTATAATTTAAAAACCTAATAATTTAGATTGATTATTTGATTATTTCAGGAAACGTTTGGATTCAAAGATTTGCAAAGCTCTCTGGCAAAAAATGTTTTACTTTTTTTAAGGTTGATAATATCCAATTAGTACTACTGTCAGCTACATTGATTAAATTCAGAATTTAGGTCCTTTTTTATTATCTACATATATCGGGGACCGTATTGGTTTTTTGAACTGCTTGATTTTGTTTGAAGTTATTTTAAGCTTGCTAGCAATGGAAAATAATGGAACTCAGCCTAAAGTATATTTATTGACCACTTGTCAAATTTTAATTGGCTTTAACTTTGGTGTTACACTGGCTTGATTTTGTAGATGAGAACAGTATTTTGTGGAATTAAACTTAATTGTTGACTTAACTTTGCCTTCTTTTAAGTAACATACAAGAATGTGACAAAATTATTATAAAATAAATTTACAGAGGGAAAAATCTCCCTTGATCTACCTGTTTTACTGCCTTCCATATAGTTTATGCTTATCATTTTACCTTATATCATCATTATACCTTAGTCTCTAGGTAGATCAACTTATTTTTAATAAGTTTCTTTAGAATGAGTGGAAGAAATATAACTTTTTTGATTAGTTTACCTTTTCTTTAATTGTAGGGTGGGTATATGGCTGCCAAGGTCCGGAAATTGGAGGAACAGTTTCAATCAGATGCTACTATGCAGAAGGATGGAACTTCATCTACGATTTTTAGTGGCGTTGCCATCTATGTTAATGGATATACAGGTTGAGTACTTTTAACTTTTTAGGTACCCCATTTTAACATGGGCTTTTGTATTAGAATTTTGAGAGTTTTGATTTCTATTTTTAATTATGTATAGAATTGCTAAACATAAACCTACTTAGATACTCCTGGTACTTTTGCTTTCCATTCTGCCTCTACCTACAGTTGGCTTTTATTTTAATTTTTTCCTAAGTACAGTTTTAAAACACAAATGAGGTTTAAAATGAAAGAGTAGTTATCTTGCTTAAATAGCTGATTGGCGTGCCCATCACATGTATGGAATTTATAAACTCTGAACTTTGACACAGGAATTTGGTAACACCAGTTCATTGGTGAATCTCCAGCTGTAAGCTCAGGATCCTTTTGGCCTGCTGGTATGTGTGTCAGATTTCCCAGAATCTTACCTAGAGAAGGGAATAAACCTAGCTGTCAGGGTTTTGAATACACAGAGGGAAGGAAAAGACCAGAATTCTCAAGAGTTTAGGAAGTATAATTTGATTTAATTGGCCTATCCTTTATTTTTCATTCCATGTATCTCTCTTCCCCCTTCTGCTCTGTTGTCACTGAGTCAAGTATCAAGCAGGAGTAGAATAGTCTTCTTTATGAGTAGGAGAGGCAATCTGGATTTGTAATTTGCCTGTTGCACAGGATTTCAGATATAAGCTTCCTTTTCTATGACCCATCTAATAGCAAATTATGGAGATGCTCAGTATCTCTTCTGGGATTCCATAGCCAACTTTCTCTGATTTTCAGTTAGTTACCACTTGTCTATTAGCTATCAGATTTTCCTGCTAAAGTTTTTCCTTCATTTTCTTGTGGATTCTTCTCCCTCTTAAGATCATTTTAGTGTATTTTTTAAAGTTAATGACCAAATACTTGTGTCAGTGTGTTATAATTTTCCTTTTCCATTTCTCACCTAACTAACAACTGCTTTATATTTATGGTCTCTGTTTACATGCTACTTCCCCTTGATTTTCTGATTGTCTTCCTGTTGGTATAACTGAAATCTTATCCTCCTGTAGGGCTGTGACTCTTTTTGTATATCCTCATCTTAGCATTCATTACATTTTATTATAGTTGTTAATTTACTATTACTGTATCCTAGGTGCCTCCACAGTAACTGTGCATAGCCACTCAGGAAATATTTGTTGCGTTAAAGTTAAGTATTACTGGGACTCCCTGGTGGCCCAGAGGTTAAAGTCTCCTTGCTGTCAATCTATCGCCAGCCACTGTAGCATAAGTTCCATCCCTGACCAGGGACCTAACCCACATGGTGCAGCAGACCTCTCCTGACTTGCCCACTGCTCCCCTCAGTGGTTATTTCAGTAGATCCACCTGTTCTTCTTCCCACTCTGTCTCTGGTGAATCCTCTCACCCCCACCCCAACACCTCTGGCCTACACCCCACTTCTTCTATGCAGAAATAAAAATAAATCTTTAAAAAAAAATAAGTAGTATTAACTGACATACTGGCCTGGGTGAGTTTTGTCAGACCTCACTGACAATGAATTTAGTCTCTGTTATCTCAAAATGAGTGCTGGTACAGCTTTGGGAAGTTCACATGCAGAAAGCTTGCTACTGTTCTATTTAGATATCGTGGAGCATTCAAGCTCCATAAACTTTTCTGAGATGTATTATGAATGATTAAAAATGTTAATAAAAAGATATAAACATTGTGTTATATTGGCTAGTTACTGGACGTCCTCAGTTTACAAGGGCACCCTTATTCACATAAAAGGAAGAATAAGAAATTCAGTGAGTGAAGGAGAAAATTCTAATACTACTTTGGTCATTAATTTTGTGTGGCCATAAAATATTTTCTCTTTGGACCCATTATTATTCCTGTAAATTTTACTCTTGCTAGGATTACATTATAAATCTGTAAGTCAAATTTTATTATGTTGAATTTCAAAAGGACATGTAAATTCTGGAGATACTGTTTTGTAAAAGATTTTTCAGTTTTAGCGGCTTTCACAGCTTTATAGATAAAACAGAATCAGCAACCTGTTGGATGTGGTAAAAGAAGTAGGAAATGCTGTTTCGTTGTAGATTTTTTTTTTTTTTAATAGAGGCATCTTTTTATTTTTTTATTATTGTTTGTTTGTTTTGTTTATACATGCACTGGGTACAATCAGAAGCGCGGGAGGGGGCCTCCCTGGTGGCGCAGCGGTTGAGCGCTGGGTTGCGAAGCTGCCCGCGGCCTCTGCGGCACCGGTTCGATCCCCGGCTGCTCCCCGGCCACCGGAGGAGGGTCCCACATGGCGCGCAGACCTCTCCTGCCGCCCACTGCTCCCCTCAGCAGTGTACTTCGGTCCCTCTGCCTGCTCTGCTCCCCACTCTGGCTCTGGTGAATTCTCTCACCCTCCCGCGCTTCTGACTGTACCCAGTGCATGTATAAACAAAACAAACAAACAAATAAATAAATAAATAAAACATGCCTCTATTAAAAAAAAAAAAAAAAAAAAAAGAAGCGCGGGAGGGTGAGAGAATTCACCAGAGCAGAGCGGGGAGCAGAGCAGGCAGAAGGACCGAAGTACACTGCTGAGGGGAGCAGCGGGCGGCAGGAGAGGTCTGCGTGCCATGTGGGACCCTCCTCCGGTGGCCGGGGAGCAGCCGGGGATCGAACCAGTGCCGCAGAGGCCGCAGGCAGCTTCGCAACTCAGCGCTCAACCGCTGCGCCACTGGGGAGGCCCCTCGTAGATTTTTTTAATCATCATGTTCCTCATAGATGTTTACTAATATTCCTAAGGTTCTTGTTTCCTTTAAAACTCCCAGTTCAGGGCCTCTCTGGTGGCGCAGTGGGTTGAGCTCAGTGCTGTGTAGCTGTCTGCAGCTTCTGCAGCCTCGGGTTCAATTCCAGGCCAGCCAGGGAGATTCCCACATGGTGTGGCAGACCTCTCCTGTTGCGCCTGCTACTCCCCTCAGAAGTGTATTTGGGTCATCTGCCTGTTCTGCTCCCCGCTCTGTCTCTGGTGAATCCTCTCACCCTCCCTCGCCTCTGGCCTGTACCCCAGCTCTTGTATAAAAATAAATCTTTTTTAAAAATAAATAAGGCTCCCAGTTCTGCCATCTGAACTTCTCTTTGATAATCCCCATCCCTTCAAACCAGTTAACGTTGAACTTGATCTTAGAGATAAGAATCTCTATCTTCTGGATATTTTGCTTCGGTTTGCCTAATCTCTCCCTCCCTTTTTTTGCCCCCCAAAAAATCTTTTTCCTGCTGAAGTTAATATTTTGCCCTCCATCTTATTTTTTCATTTGATTTTTCTGAAGTAATTGCAGATACACATGCATTTTTAAGAAGTAGTACAGAGATAGCATGAACCCTTTGCCTGCTTTCTCCCTATGATGCCATCTTATAAACTGTAGTGCAGTATCAGCTAGGAACTTGACATTGGTATAAAATCAAGATAACAGAGTATTTCCACACCACAAGGATCTTTCATGTTGCCCTTTTATCACCACATTTACTTCCCTTCTGCTCTCAGTCTCTCCTTAATACCTGGTAACTACTAATCCTCTTTAGTGAACTGTATGTACATGTCTTTTGTTCATTCTCTAATTGTATTGTTTAGTTTTTTTACTGTTGAATTTTTAGAGTTCTTTATATATTCCAGATACCAGTTCTTCGTCAGATAAATAATTTGCAGATATTTCTCCCTCTATGTAGTTTGTCTTGCATCCTCTTTATTTGGTCTTTTGCAGAGCAAAAGTGTTCAGTTTTGATGAGGTCTGTTTCTTTGATCATATTTCCTCATACGCATTATGCTTTCAAATCAAAATCTTTGGTTAGTCTTTGGTCCCAAAGCTTTTCTTCGAGTTTTTTTCTGAAAGTTTCATAATTTTATGTTTAAATTCACAGTCCATTTTGCATTAATCTTTTTTTTTTTTTTTGATGACCTATGGATATCCAAATGCTTTACTACTATTTATTGAAAAAGCAGACATTCCTCCATTGGATTAATTTTGTGCTTTTGTTGAAAATCAGTTGGTTATACTTGGGTGGGTCTATATCTGGGTTCTCTAGTCCATTGATGTATATAGTGCTCTCTTCAACAGTAACTACACTGTTTTGAATTACTGTACCTTTGTGGTGGGTGTTAGAGTTATTTTTTCCATTTCATTCTTCTTTGAGAAGATTGTTAGCTATTTTAGGACTTGAGACTTTCAATATAAATTTTCAAATAAGCTTTTCTATGTCTACAAAACAAATGCCTTGCTGAGATTTTGATGGGAATTACATTAAATCTGTATATCAATTTAGGGAGAATTAATATCTTTGTTGTGTTGAGTTTTTCAATCTTTGTACCTTCCATCTTAATTTACTATCTTTGAACAAATATATTTTGTATGCTGATTTTACGTTTTTTGAACAGATACGATGGTTGCTGGAGAATGTGGGTTTTATGTTGCATAATCTCTGGGAGTTAGACGTGAACAGTAAAAAGTACTACGTAGAAGAGAAGTAATTGCCTTTGGGAGTTATAGCAAATCCCTCAGAAGAGAAATTGACATTTTAGCTTGGTCTTGATAGGTAAAGCATTTTCAGTATTAGAATGGGTAAAGACAATTTGGTCCTCATTCTAACCAGCATTTTTATCTTTCATTCATAGTTTTGGTCAACATGGTTATTCTAATATTTTTGGTTTGTCTTTGTATTACCCATTTCTTACTTGTGTTTATGCTTTTGCCTCTGATGAAAAGCTCCTTTATTCACTTCTGTGAACTGGAATTATATTTATCCATTAAGAATCTGAAAATCAGGGCCTCCCCAGTGGCGCAGCGGTTGAGCGCTGGGTTGCGAAGCTGCCTGCAGGCTCTGCAGCGCCAGTTCGATCCCCGGCTGCTCCCCGGCCACCAGAGGAGGGTCCCATATGGCAGGCAGACCTCTCCTGCTACCTGTTGCTCCCCTCAGCAGTGTACTTCGGTCCTTCTGCCTGCTCTGCTCCCCGCTCTGGCTTTGGTGAATTCTCTCACCCTCCTGCGCTTCTGACTGTACCCAG